AAAGGATTTTATTCGAAGCTATTCGGAGGAATAAAACGCCGGTAATACACTATTAAGCAAAAAAACAGAGGTTTTTGCAATATTTTTAAGAATCTGCAAAAAAGACATATCATTCGGAACATTTTTTGATGAGTTTCGTTAGTTTGTGGTTTTATTTTTTGGTTTTGATACAAAATGGCTTCCAATTAAAGGCGTTAGTATCATATCATATGTACCCAATAATTTTTTTTCGATAATATTGTTATCATCTGAACCCGAGCATAAAAATTATGGACGATAAGAAATCCAAAGTAGGAAAAGAAATTGTGGCCATAGCTAAGGGTCATATGGCAGAAATTGTTATTTGTCGATGCGATAGTCGATCCATTATGCATAGATCAGTTGTGTACTAAAACAATATTCTCAGTTGATATTGGCATACTCTTTGATAGTAGTTATTAAGTAGTTGTAATTCCTTACATTAACATAGATGACTGTACTAACATTTATTTTCAAAGTTACGCGCGGAAATGGCCAATGTCCATCCACCGAAAGATGTTAATGAAAACCAATTCTACTTTGTATCATTGATCTATTAGTTACAAATTCACATTTTAACTACCAAAATTATAACAAAAAATGAACTTACATAAAATCTATATCACTCAACACTAAATATTGTTATTTATTCCGCTATTTAACAACGAATAGTTAAAAAAAAAAACGATTCTAGTTTTGTTGAGGAAAATGAAATTGCTATCGAGTGATTAATTGCACCAATACCATTCGGGACATGTATATCCACGGAAGCGCCTTCAATCAATGTGACAAATAGCCCATCGCCGAATTGACGATGCCGGGGAGTTGGTTGCAGGACACAACTATCCCTTGAAATGGGGAAACGAGGGAAACTACAGACCCGTCTCGTGCTTTTCCAAGAAGCTTCAGGCGTTTCGTCGCTGTGACAATGAAATTACTTAATTGCAATTTTCCTCGTTCGACTACGCCTTACTATGATGGCGAAAGGGTTCGGGGGTGTAGTTACGATCAAATATGGACCTACAGAGACTTCTACTACCTAGAAGCGACTACAATGTCGTCGACGTCATGTAATGTATGTAAATGTCGGGAGAGACTGCTTTATTCACTTGCTTTGTCCACATTATTGAGAAACTTTAACATCAAGTTACTTTTACGTTTTATTTCTTTTTTATTGCGAGAAATGTTTGACATAAATTACATCAAATGAAAACAATAATTGAAATGGTATAAATAATAGTTCATCGCGGATAATATTTGTTGTTATAAAATCGAATTTAAAATATGTCAATAACGTGAATCGTATTTTGGACGTCCGAAAATTTCGCTAATGGTTTAAAATAAACCCGGATGAAAAGCGCACAATGGCTTCGACTGCGATTAACGCGATTAGGCGTCGGCGTCAAATGTCACCGGCAAAACAGATCCAATTACGGCCATCCAATTTTCGAACGATAATTGGGTCACGTGATTGCGGCAAACATTTCTCGACGATAGACGCGCAGACAACGCAAAACTGAATCAATCTCAATTATGGGCCGCGCTTTTTTTTTCTCTTCGACGCGTTCGCGTTCACGCCAACCCCGAGACATGAATAAAACATTAATGTCACGGAAGGGGGAACATTGTTTACTGCGAGATTTACGCGAGCTCTTTCGTTACCGAGATTCGGGATTATATTATAGGGCCATCCCCCGTGCCCCCCTTCGGTCTTAAAGTTTAATTCCTTCGGTGGGGCTATAAAGCTACACGCCAACGAATCTTATTGTTCTCCAAGGGACACTCTTTTCCGCAAATGTTTATACGAAATTTTAGAAAGAATCAAATAAATTCTGAGATATTTGAAATAAAGTTGTAAGGAAAACATTTCTTTGTAAATACCCGATTTAATTAAAGAAAACATTTTATTATATAATTATGCGGTATACTTAGAACGTGTTATTTCCGTATATATGTCACATAACGTTTTATATCATACATTTTACGAGAGGTCGTTCATATAGATTACAAATAGCATCCGGCTGAGTTTCAACCCTTGAAGTACGCCATGTTTGCAATGTCTCATTTCCAACATTTCACTACTCCAACTGACACTCTGATTCCTGTTTATTGGGGAGGATATCATTAATTCATGTGGAATTTCTCATATTCCAATGGCTTGACAGCTTATTTAATAATGCATATACTGTGATTTAACGGTGAATTATGTTGCACAATTTGGGTCATAGCAAACTTTTTCGTGGTTGTAGATAAACCTCGTAATCATCGTAATGATTAACCATTGCATTACATTATTACCTCGTGGGTTCAGTCAACAACTAGGTATCTAGAAAAATCAGTTTTCTGGGATATCCTGGTGACAAAAAATCAGTGTTTTTGACGATTGTTAATATTTGTCTGATTTTAAATAATTGGTACTTATTGTGTTTGTTTATTAAATAACGCGTGATTTTTAGATTAATAAGGATTTCTTCCCAGTTTTTTTATTATTTTTAAGTCAAAATGAATTTTCCAGTTGTGGTATTGACAGCTTAATTAATATTTTAGCCAGTTACGTAGTTGTTAATAAAGTCAATGCGTTATTTACTTATTTAAAAAGCATACTCTTAAAACTTGTCTATAAAAAGTTATCAAAATTTGAAAAAATAAATGTAGTAGTCACGCTCAGATCCAGATTCTTCCAATTCTTGGTCACGTGAATTTGTAGATTTTTTCTGTTTGGTATTTTCTTTGTGAGGAATAATCTCATAAAATGGTTTGTATTCCAAACTTATTGCTGGAGGGACAGATGTAAAAGAGAGTTTAAATCGGAATACTTTTCGTTTGATATTGATAATGATTCCACATAAAAACACTTTTTCAGCCAGTCGAAAACTGCTGTTGCTCCTTGCTCTTTTGGTACAGTCAAGGACTCTACTCTCCTTCAAAATTTTCTTTAAATCTTATAGTAAATGGACACACCGTACGATTTACATCTTCTTTCGGAATAGTCAAGTTGCTATTGATATAGGATGTCCAGTCTATGAAATTCTCAAAGGTTTGTCTCCTTTTCTTCTTGCACTTCGGGCAATTGTTTTCCAGTCTGCCGGCCCATTGACTTCTCCGACTGTCTGCTGCTCAGTGATTATAACGGAATGCATGAAGTCACATTGCATTTCGCTATGACCAACAACCAAGAACTTTAAATCTATGGTACTTAAATGTCAAATCTATTTACATTTTGAAGGACTAATTTGTAGAGAAAACGACTGAAAATATTTGTACGTGTTGCTATTTCACAAACTGCCCCTTTTTAGATTTGTCTCATTCCAAATAAAACAATCTCCTTGTGAAGCACAATTGTATATTGTGAAGTTAACTGACTTAAATCGATATTTGTAAAAAAGTGCATTATTTCTAGGATCTGGAGGTGCCAATAGAACTTGCTACGAATCAAAATTTCAACTTACATAGTTGTGATTTTGTTGTGCCCGTTCCCTATCATTGCTCTTCTCTTGCCTAGCTTCATCCTTTGCCAAAAGATGTAATTAGTAAGTTTCTTCAAATCTTTCAACGTTGGCGCCTGAGGTGTTGTAATTTATGTAAATACGGCATTGGTGCTTTTTAGGACGGTGGAATCCAAGATTGTATTCTTCATTGAAAATCTTCCGATATGCATAGCGTTTGGCCACTTCCAAATTACGTTCGTCTTGTTACTGTTTGTACATTTAGTACACATTAGATGAATGTTGAGCTAAGGGTCAAGATATTTACGTTTTGTGTCAAATCGACTATAATGTTACTCCACCATCGGTAAGCTTTTAATGTGATTTCTCACACTGGTAACGATTTCATGTTTTGTTTGCTTTTTTATGTGACCTCTTTTATCGGATTCGCTTGTGTTTTCTTTTGTCCTTTTGGTCATGGCAATGTCAACAACACCTTTACGAATGCATAGTGTGTTAGAAACATGGTCTTGCAAACCTTTACTTTTTGTTGCTTTTCTGTTGGTAGATAAAAACAAACAGTTAATTTCGTCTTGATGCCTCAGCAGTAGTACCTTTTTCACAACTTGGTCTGTGTTGTTATAAAGAAAGTCTCGTTTTCGTTCATAAGTTTCTTACTGATAGTACCTTCTAAAAACGGAAAGCCTCCCTTCATGAGAAAACTTTTGGAAACATTTCTTGGACATGTTACTGTATATGGGTCCCGCAAAAAATTTGTTCCTAGAAGACATATACGCTTCTTTATGCTGCCTTTTTGTTTTTGAAATATTTCGCTTCTATTTTTCAGATTGCCTTAGTCTTTTTCTGTAAGGCTTGTCAGTTCTTGCAGGTTTCTCTTCCATTCCATCCAGTACGAACCCTTCAGGAGCTTGGGTATTTTCTACCAACCGCTCTGATTCTATAATATTATGCATTTCTGTTTCTAGTGTTTTTTGTAGAGGTTTTATTAGGATTGTTTGCATCTTCATCGGTGTCATCATTTTCAGAAGAAGGGCAATATTCGGAAAGAGAAAACGGCTCAGCATCAGATTCACTTTCAATGCACATATTCGATGTAGAAGGCTAAAACTAGCTTAATTTTAATTAAATTTTCAAAAAAAATTGAGTACAAAACATGAAACTACTTACCAGAGCGAGACACAGGGCTGCCTCTAGTATCGTTTTGCTTCTAGAACTCATATTTTTGACAACTTTGAGACCGCACACAAAAACATGCAATCAGGTTGTTTACAATATATTAATTGAACAACTAGATAACTGGATTTAGTGAAATCTTCGTCCGGCAAGAACTAGAGAACTTAAAATACCCGGTTGTAGTAACGAGAATTTTTCCGATTTAATCATTTGTACGAAATGGGATATTTGAATTTATAAATTCATGTTATATCTTGATGTGTTAAGCAATATATTGTCATTCTTATTTTTTTTGTTTATGTAAATATTTTATATCGAACTTTTGATAGCGAAATTTTTCATATTTTCCACTTTATTTTCTAGGAGCTGAAGATGATGTGCACAAGTTTGTGGGCAACAACAGCCACACGGACTACTTCCGGCTGGTGATGCGCGACGGTGACTCCCTCATAGTGGGTGGCAGGTGAGTTATCTCAAAAAGCTTTTGGACTCCCCTTTCCGTTTACGCCCTTTACCCTGGGTTACCTGGAACTACAATCTCTATCGGAGCTTTGCGAGGGGAATCGCGGAGGCGAACGGTAAGCCGCGTCCGGACATCGTTCACCCGGATATTGTTTCGTGATAGTCTCTCGTGCCGCTTTGATGTGATACCGTGATGGCTTTGACCACGCCGACGGAATTTATCGTAAAAACCTTTACGTCACAGCAGCTTTTACCACAAACCAAACCCGTATTAAAGGTTTTCTTTTAAACAAAAATTTTAATAAACGTTATTCTAAAAATTCCGTGGTGGTATTAATAGATTCGCTAAAACGAGATTTAACGTTTGGATTTCAATAATGCTAATAAATACGGTCACAAACAAACCCAGCCAATTATAAAAACACACGAAGGGAAATGTTCATTTGGAAAACAAACCAACGGTTGTAGTTAAAATAAGCATTATTTCAATTTTCATTACGAAAATCCTTGTGATAACATTGGTTGTTCCACGAACGGAGCGATTTTGTGCGCGGCCTTGTATGTATATAAAACGGAAATACGAGAAATGTCGTTATTTTCAAATATAGGGTACGGTACACGATTTTAATGTCGAGAACCCGTGAACGTATGGCCATAGGCAATGTGTCGTATAATTGGCTTTCCGTTGTTTACACAAACGCGGTCACCATACGTTTGTACATCTAGTCCCTTGTCCGCTTTTATCAAACCTTTTATACCAAAAATACACCTTGTGTTTAAAAAAATCTAAAGATATGAATACTTTAATTTCATACATTTTAATTCAAAACAACTTATTAGAAGAAACACCCCTTTAAGTATTAAAATATTTGAAGTTATTTTTAACTTATAAATAATTACTTTTATCAACAAATGTAAGGGTATTATTTAGACGTATATTTCAATTAATAATCAAAAATGGTAGGCATTTAGCTCGATTTCCGTCGTTGTTGAGGATGTGGGATCTGGCAATGTCACTCGCTTCGCTTCTTTCTGGAAGGGCCATCGCTATACTTTTATACACGTTTGTTTGTCTCACATCAGACATATACAGTAATCCCCGACCCCCTTCGTCCACATTTGTCCAAGGTTTGTAAACTCTGGCGTGTTTATGTTTACGTGTGCGAAGTAACCACAATTCAAAATAATAACTTTACATTCGGTAAACCTATTTATTAATTAGTTTTTGCAGAATTTTACCCTTTCTAATCCGTTTTTAATTAAAAGTATTATAAACAAAAGTAAATCAGAATGCAGAAACTGTTTACAAACATTCGGCGTGTATTAATAGGAGAGTTTTTAACACGTTATGGCCTAAGCAGAGAGGAACGAAGCGGGCGACGTTGCCAAATCGCTAAGTGTTTCATCATCTATCATAAGAAGATGATAAAAAACTTTCTTCAGTTAGGTTTTTAAAAAAAAGACCACTTTTCCTCCGTAATTGTTATAAATTAATCAATCTGAGACGTTTCGGGAACACCTCCCATCTTCAGTCTACAAATAGTCACTCGTAATATTATCTACAAAAAAACCACAACAAAAGACCATAAAAATCTCAAACCACACAAAAAATACAAAAATTAATCGGTGTCGAATGTTAAAAAAGTTTACCTCTAATCTTGATATGATGATTTAAAAAAACAATATTTTAAAATTACTTTGCATACATGTATGTGCGTCACATTGTACAACTGTTTCGAAATACCATTGTACGAAGTTTCAAGGTTAATTTTACTACCCAAAAACTGGAATTCGTTCTTCCTTTCTATCACTCCCAAACGTCTTCTATCTATCTCGCTTTATATATTTAATCTATCTAAGATATTCGCGTAATGCGCTCCAATTTTCCCAACATCAGTTTTGAAATTGACTGCGTGATTGATATTTTTTGTTATATAAATTGATTCTAAATTTTTTCTTATTAAGGTATTATTATTTGTATTGAGAATCCTGGGGTTTTCAAAGTCAAATTTGTGGTTTAATAGCACAGAATGTTGACACAATGCTGTTTTATTATTTATTTTGATCTGTTTTGAGTCATATTGATGTTGTTGAATTCGTTTTTTCAGGTGTTGTTTTGATTCTCCAATATAAACTTTATCACAATTCATACAATTTAATTTGTAAACGGTATCGACTTTGTCTATCATCTTAATTTTATCCTTCATATTTGAAATCAATGTGTTTATTTTATTATCATTTTATTTTGCAAATTTAATTTCTTTAAAATCATGATCTCTGAATACTGAAGTTATTTTATTCGTTAATGACGGTATGTATTTAATCTTACAAAACTTATTCAAATTTGTTATTTTATTAGTTTCGTCATTTATATTTCTATTATCTTGTTCACTATCATTCTTCTGATTATGTTTATCGAAATATTGTGTAATTAATGATTGGCCTTCTGTTTTATCTTTTGTTTTACTTCTTAAAAAATACTCTTTTTTATATTGTTCTGTAGGTCGCGATATGTGAGAAGTTGTATTGTTATCTTGATTATCATTATCAATAGAATTTTTAATTCTATACCAAGCATCATTGACTAATCTTTTAGGGTAGAAATTTTCTAATAAAATGTTATATAATTGTTTTCTTATTTCTTTTAAGAAGGCATTGTCTGTAACTGAGATAGCTCTTTTTATGTAATTGTTCATGGTATTAATGATTTGGGACTTAGGGTGATTGCTATGAAAATTTAACAGTCTATTGCTAGCAATTTCTTTTTTATACCATTTCGTTGCAATTGAGTTGTTGTTTCGATTCATAACCAGAACTATATCCAAAAAGGGTAATTTATCATTATCGGGCGTTTCTACTGTATGATATGATCAACGTTCATATCAACAAGCATTGGAGATTCTTTCCAAGACTTTTAGAGCCGTTGGAGTGTTACGCGATTTAACATAACTGCCTTCTCCAATGACCAGTGAAAAATTATAACGAAATTTTGTCAATAAAAACTATAAAACAACTTGCTTTGTTTATTAGATTATAAAATAAGACGTGATTTTCAGAGACTTAATAATAGTCATCACATCAATGAAATGTGTTTGGAAGAAATATTTTTTCTTCAATATTTATTGAAGAGGGATATAATCTGTTTTATATTTTAGTAGGGCGTATTTCATCGGCTGTTTCAAAAGTGTCGGAGTCCTAAACGTAGGTTAAGCATGGCCATCAATGTGTCTTTCATGGCTACGGTGGGAGTTGTTCGCTGCCCTGTAACATATTGACAAGCGAGTCTCTGTATTCTGTTTAACAGTATTTCTACCGACACGTCATGAATACCTATTCCTACGCGACCTTTTAAATAGTCGATTTGACGTAATAAAAACATAGTTTCTTTTATTCAGAGGTATACATATAATGTACATTTTATTCGTTATATAATGTACATATTTTTTACACTTTAGACATATTTTGTTAGTTTTATTGTCTTTACAATATCTTATTTGACATGTTTTCTGTTCACATGAACCTGTAATTGTATTTGTGATGGGTCTTGGTTGATCTTCTTTGCTCAGCTGTAGTACTTTCTGATATTCGATAGCAAGTTCGTCTGCTAGTTGAAATAAAAAAATCTTGCCTCGAAATATTTTCTCTTGTTGCAAAATACCTGTAAAGGCCTTCTCCGACATTTAGGTTTGACTGTATAATTTCTAACCATGTGGTCGGTGTTACATCTACACCAAATCTGGTGCTATTGTAGAATCTAATTGTTTCTGGTACACGAGTATTACTTGCTTCAACGCGTACGGAGTTATACTTTCAGCTAAGAATCAGTTCCTTTTTATTTGGTTTAGCTTTGTAAATTGTCAAAGTGCAATTATTTGATCGACATAATTTTATTGAATAACGTGTCATATTATCATTGTGAGAAAACATTTTGGCACCCCTTCCAGGTATGATTTTATTTATTTATAGTCGTAGTAGATTCTAATTGCACAGAGAAGGCAAAAACACAGAGAGGTTGAATGACGAGCAAGAACTATAAGTATTTGGAAGTACATAAAATGGTCTCTGGAAGACATAGTTCGGCTCAAATCATGCCACAGTTACATTATCTTTCGTTTGTAATATCCAATATATCATTGAATCAGTCATTTGATCGGTTGTGATAGGAGTAGTGTTAAGACCGCGGTGACGGTAGCATCGGTTGAATTGGAAACATATAAATCCAAAGAGCTATTTTGGGGAATTGCCCAAATGTCTTTCCAACTGCTCCCTGGTATTGATCGAAGGTGGCACAAGTTATATATACGAATATTTTTTGCACTATTGTGAAAAGATACACAGAGAGACTGTTTTTCAATTCTCAATTAAGTCGATTGCAACCTGAATACTGTCGATAAGTTCGCTAAGTTACTTGTCTTTAATAAGGATTATCAGATTATTCGCACAACCTTTGGTTCGTTTTATGAAGGTATTCTAGGTAAGATTTCAAAGAAATGGAGATAATACTCCTTCGAATTCTTTCATTAAGAGTATTACGCCGATGGAATTTTTCGCTCTAACAAAATCTTTTTAATTCTAGAGAAAGTCGTTTTTATCAAACACATCCTCATCGTTAATGACCGTTCTCAAGACACGTTGGTTTACAACGCGAGTCACTTAATGATGAACCGTCCAAGTACACTTACTCTATGTGTTTGGGTGGGTTGTCCCTGAGTATCTGTTGTTGTGAGATCAACTTCAAAACATTATTAAACATTATCTGTAGTATATCGATCTCCTAATCTCTCCAACCTTTAGTAGAAAAGAAGAGAAACTAATTGTTGAAATTGCTGAAACTAATTTGCTAATTGCAAAGTTCATTTTGACCTCTCTTCAACTCGTTTGCAAGAAGGCTAATATAATCTCATCTGGTTCTGTCAATGATTATCTCTCAATGATTATTGTAAACCCAGTCAATTGCGTAAGATGTTGCGTAAGACGTTGTCTTCTCTTGAAATCTTCCAG